TGCAGACAGCTGGTCATTTGCATCCTTTTAGAGAGTCGTTGAGGCCACCTGGAGGTTGACCTGTGTCCTTGGGGGTCACCTGAGTGGTGCAAATGGGGGTGGATCCTTCTTGGCTGCAGGATGTTTTCTGCCCTGGGTCCCTTCACTATTGAAGACGGGCGCAGGTTGTTGGGGAGTCTTTGTGGTCTGCATTTCAGACTGAAGTGCAGATTATTCTCCAATTTTTTTTTTCTGGAAACCCGTTCATGCTCCTGCGCCATTGGAAGGGCGTTCATCCAAAATGCATGGCTAAGTGTCTGATTTTCAGTCATCCAGGCCATGGTTGTCCCAAAGGTGCTTTTTTAGGAGGCAACTGGACTTGCAGACAGCCATTCCAAGTGGCCTCAATGACTCTCCAAAAGGAGGCAAATGACCAGCCGTCTGCAAGGAATATAAATCCTTCCATTCCCCACCATCCCATCAGAGCTGAAGAAGCTTCTCGGATGAAAAGCGAAACGCCTTCAAAGAAAAAACAGGAAAGTCCAGTTGCCTCCTGAAAAAAAGCACCTTTGGGAAAATTCATTCCTTCGTTGCGGGTCCTGGACTGTGTTTCACATGCTGTGGGCTTCTGACACAGCAAGCAGCCAGGATGTTCGCACCACAAAGCCATGTCTATTTGTGCAAAGCTCCACGTAGATTTCCTTGTGTTGAAGGGATGAATATATAACTTTAACAATTAACATATCGTTAGGAGAGAAGCAACCTAGAACTAAAAAGAAACTTCCCGACAGTGAGAACAATTAACCAGTGGAACCACCTGCCTCCAGAAGCGGTGAATGCTCCAACACTGGAAGTTTTTAAGAAGAGACTGGACAGCCATTTGTCTGAAATGGTCTAGGGTTTCCTGCCTGAGCAGGGGGTTGGACTAGATGACCTCCAAGGTCCCTTCCAACTTTATTATAATAATAATAATAATAATAATAATAATAATAATAATAATAATAATAATAATAATAATAATAATAATAATATTACTATTATTACTATTATTACTATTATTACTATTATTATTACTATTATTATATAATTTCATAATTTCATAAACAAATAATAGGTTCCATAAATAGAGAGGTGCGTCTCCCAAAGCTCCTGGCAAACTGGCAGTGTTGGAAGAGAGGACCACTGAGCATGTACAGAGTGTCTCTTCCTCTTGGGACATTCCCAGGGCTTGTGGTTCTCCCAGGTGACTCTGCTCCAGGTCTCTTTCTCCCTCTCTATCACATACACAAACACACACACACACCCCTACACACCTGTCTTCTAGCAGGTGCCACAGCCTATAGATTTGCACTGCACGTTCCCTGGAGGACGAGAAAGAGCCCCGCCCTCAGTGATGGGGTTTCCATGGTACCTGCCGCCATGGAAACAGAGCCGGAACACCTTCCCCATTCGGGGACCACTCAGCTGGGAGAGGGGTTATCCCAGGCCAGCCCCCCAGGGAGGCCACACCTGGGTGCATCTGGGCAAGGCTGTGCATGATGGAGAGCGAACCGCGAGCCACGGCGGAGGGCTCAGACTCCGGGGATTCGGCTCTCCCGGATCCCCCCGGGAGTTTCAAGTAGCCCGGCCAGGATGCCAGTGAACCAGGCCAAGTGTCTCGCACCCATGTGCCACAGCGGATCACATGGTGCCAGTGCAGCTGGGTGTCTAGCCACTAAAATGGCACTTGCGTGTGTCGTCCCCCAGACATGCCGAGAGGGAAACGCCAGTATTTGAAAGAGACAGTTTGGTCTAGTGGTTAAGGCACCAGGTTAGAAACCAGGAGCCAACGAGTTCTAGTCCCGCCTTAGGCATGAAAGCTGGTGAGGTGACATTGGGCCAATCGCCAGGAGGTTGTGAGTTCTAGTCCCGCCTTAAGCATGAAATCCGGCTGGGTGACTTTAGGCCAATCGCCAGGAGGTTGTGAGTTCTAGTCCCGCCTTAAGCATGAAATCCGGCTGGGTGACTTTAGGCCAATCGCCAGGAGGTTGTGAGTTCTAGTCCCGCCTTAAGCATAGAGGTTAACTGGGTGACTTTGGGCCAATCACCAGGAGACTGAGAGTTCTAGTCCCGCCTTAGGTATGAAAGCCGGCTGGGTGACTTTGGGCCAATCACCAGAAGACGGGGAGTTCTAGTCCCGCCTTAGGTATGAAAGCCGACTGGGTGACTTTGGGCCAATCACCAGCAGACACTGAGTTCAAGTCCTGCCTTTGGCATGAAAGCCAACTGGTTGACTTTGGGGCAATTACTCTCTTTTTGTCCCAACCTACCTCAAGGATTGTTTTGGTGGAGAAAATAGGAAGCGGAAAGACTATTAGGTACCCTTGCCTCCTTGAGTGATTTGTAAAAATAATAAAGGCCAGATACAAACAGATTCCCCAGTTTAGGGGAGGAATTCCGGCTGGGGGGCCTTATTGCCAGCCCTTGCTGGGCGGGCTGGGTATTGTGGCCTATGCCAGCTGGCACCTTCTGAACGGGCTGAATCCCAGCCCCCCATGGAGATGTCCGGGGCAGGAGGCCGTGACTTGCCTGCTCCTAATCTGAAGCAGGCACCCAGTGGGGGGAATCCCCACAGACCCTCCCTGGGGCTGACCCGTTTCTCTGCCCCCCCCAGGGCCGCAGAGATTTCTCGGAGGAGCTGCCAGAGGAGACCCCCAAGACCCCCGCACCCCATCACCGATGGTTGCAGCTGATCGATGTGGACAGTAGGTGTCTCTTCTCTTCTGCCCCAAAACCACCACACTGGGGCAGGCTCAGCATGGGGGGTGGGGTTGGGCCAGTCACCCCCTCCTCCCTCCCCAGCAACAGAGGCTGGCAAGGGGCGCTGCCAGGGTTCGGGCGCGGGCAGGGTCCAAGGTCATCTGGGAAGCCTCCCACTGGAGGCAGATTAAAGGGGAGGGGTCTTCTTTCTGTGTGCTTTGCAGTTCAGACCCAAGCGAGCAGGAGGGGTCCTTGGTGCTCTCTGAACTCGGGGGTTTTCTTGCAGACATTTCATTACCCAACTAAGTAACCCTCCTTCTTCCTCCTCCTCCTCCTCCTCCTCCTCCTCCTCCTCCCCCCAACCCCTCTTTCTTCTAGCACTGATGATGCTACCTAGTTGGGTCATGAAATGTCTGCAAGAAAACCATCCAGCTCAGAGAGCACCAGGGACCCCACAGTCCTTCCTTCCTTCCTTCCTTCCTTCCTTCCTTCCTTCCTTCCTTCCTTCCTTCCTTCCT